AACTTTTGCCTAGGTAACCCATTTGTGGGATTCCTAGCGGGTCTTTCCCCTTATCTTCCCTCACTACTTTTTTAAGCAACATCTCCCATGTAATGATGAATTAATTACTTTACTGTCTAGTTTGGAGGGATTGAGCTGAGCTCATATGAGCTCAAACTAATTGAGTACCTTTGTTAGTCCATTATGATAAATCTAGGAGATGATTTGGATAACAATAGAGGGATAATTCTCATGTCATATCTCCATAAATTTTGGAACACACTAAAGAGCAACATATCAGGAATAACATCTTCGCCCATCAAACACCCCATATAATCACAAGAATATATCTCCTATATATCATGCGAAATTATCCCCGAGTCAAGAGACATGATCAACTACCTATTATGTGGCACAATGTATCATTCTAATCCTAATCTTATTCTTAAAAACTTGTCTCTAACTCGAGTGTGAGAGCGTCTTTACAGGTGCTATCCATTGATCGCCATCAATATTGGACCAAGAAGGAGATCACTCTGGTTGTTAGTGCACTTGCTAATTCTAGTATGAACAATTACCAACCTCCACACCCTCACCCTTCCTTCCTCCACTTCCTTCTCCCTCTAGCTTCCACCACTAAACCAGCTTTCACATCGATTGTCTTCTAGATCCTAGGTGTCCCTAGGCTCAACGACTTCTCTATCCACCACCATCAATTGGACGCTTGCTTCCTCCACTAGGCCCAAACCCAATCTCAAGATTGAGGATGATGTTGTTTTCGTTGTCATTATGGACTCCCCTTGATCCTTGGGAGAGCATGATGGGATCAGATAAATAACCCAAATAGGGCTAAAAAGAAAAATTAAGTTCAAAAATGGTTTTAAAAAACTCGAATGAGCAAGATGATGGCCACACAATAGAGTTACAACAAGCTAAAGGGGACACGTGAACAACATGCACTTGACAAAATAGAGCAAGGGAACAACACACCATGTGTCACATCTTTTGATAATATCAATATTTGCAAGGATAGGTCACACTTGAGGAGGTTGACCAAATCCTAGGTTTGTTGGAAAAAATAGTCACTAATGACAATAATGGTAGACGACAATAGATGATGGATATCGACAAATAATAATTTAAAAATTATAAAACAAAGAGAAAATATCATATGAAAGAAAAATAAGAATGAAAATACACTAAAATAAAAAAATGTAATGTTATTGTACCAACTACATCAGATCGGTAACATCAGACGTTTGACGTTATACTAACCTTGGTTGACAAGATTATCCTCGGCCCCAAACCACTTAGCTACATCGGCCAAAAGACTAAGCCGCTCCTCAATTGACAAGATAAAATGATAAATGCATAATCTCATTATATCTTAACCAATGAGATATTCGTGTAAGGGAAAACAAAACCCTAATCACCACCAAGGTATGTGCAATATACATAAAACATTCACACCTACGAAGAGAACTAACTTAAGTATGAGAGTCTCTTTTGCAGATATCATCACTACCTTGGAGCATTCAACTTGCATAGAGATTTATCAATCTCACCAAAGAAATCATCACTTGACCAACTTTTTATAATTATTATAAATTTAAATGATAACTCTAATCCATTTATTTGAATATTTATAAATTTAACAATATTTATTAGTTCTTGATCAATGAACCAGATGTTTTAATAATTCTCCACCGATAAACCACATGTTTTGGTGCTTCAAGAGAGAGCCCGACATGTAAGTCCCCTTATAATACCTCGTCTCTATTATGTTGGTATAATGTATCTCTCGTTCTAAAAAAAAAAAAGTACAAACTAACTAACCGTGCAAATACTAGAATAATTTATTAATTTGAGGCATATGCAACACATTGACCAATCTGATTCCTTGGGTCCAAGAAATCCTGAGTGGACCCCTCCACTTCCTTTGTTGCCCCAAGGAGCTACGCTTGAGACCCTTCTGTGTTGGCCAAGTGTCTACCCTTGTACGCATGCCACGTGCCTCTCCAACCACTACTTATGTTCCCGCTTCAGCTACTCCCTACTCCTACAACACCTTTCACTTCCAAGTTCAAACATGAATTCCCCAAAGCACCACCACTGCGTCACTTCCCTCAAAACCCTAACCCCCCACATCACCTGCCTGGCGCTCCACCGTAACCTCCTCTACGCCGCATCCCTCAACCTCATCAACGTCTTCGACCTCTCCCACCACTCCCACATCGACGCCTTCAACCAAAGCCCCGCCTCAGGCTTCGTCAAGTCCATCGCATTCAGAGCCTCAAAGGTCTTCACCGCGCACCAAGACTGCAAGATTCGCGTCTGGCTCATCACCCCCTCCAAACGACACCGTCTCCTCTCCTCCCTCCCCACCGTCGCCGACCGCCTGCGCCGCTGCATCGTCCCCCGCAACTACGTCAGCGTCCGCCGCCACAAGACCACCCTCTGGATCCAGCATTGCGACACCGTCTCCGGCCTGGCCGTCAACCACACCCTCATGTATTCCGTTTCCTGGGACAAGAGCTTCAAGGTTTGGGACCTCTTCAGTTACCGCTGCTTGGAGTCCGTCACGGCGCACGACGACGCCATCAACGCCGTGGCCGTCGGCGGAGACGGCACCGTCTACACGGCCTCCGCGGACGGGAGCATCAAGGTCTGGAGGAGAGGCAACGAGGCCAAGCGGCATGCGTTGGTGAGCAACATAGGGAAGCAGAAGTCGACGGTGAATGCGCTTGTTTTGGATGGTGACGGCACGGCTTTGTTTTCCGGCGGTTGCGACGGCGCCATCTGCCGGTGGGTGTGGGGGGAGAACGACGTGGTGAAGATGGAGACTTTGCGGGGTCACGGTGGGGCCATATTGTGTCTGATCCACGTGGCGGGGGTGTTGGCGAGTGCGTCAGCGGATCTAACGGTTAGGATCTGGCGAGGTCAAAGAGGGAGTGGTGGGTATTGTTGCAGGGCGGTGTTGGAAGGGCACCAGAAACCGGTGAAGTCATTGGTGGCGTTTTCTGGTGAGGGAGACTCCAACGGCGTCGTTACTCTCTTCAGTGGAAGCCTTGACGGGGAGATTAAGGTCTGGGAGGTCTTTGCTTTGCTTTGAATCTGCTGCATTCATTTTCCCTACCAAGATCACCATTTAAAAACTACAATATTATTACAACACGTACGTTAAAAGTTATAACCCTCACACTAATATTGTGTGGGTTTGCAATATATATAGGATGAATCATGAAACGCAGACCCTATGTAACATGTGCTTTTCTTGTGTTCATAAAATCACTCTTCAAACCTGTTTCCTAAACTTTATTCCGTGTCACTCATATAATTTCCCATTCCAAAGCCTTGTTACTAGAACTGTACTATAAATAAATAACTAATTAATGCATATAATTTCTATACATTTTTTCACAAATTTTATTTTATTTTATTTTTATGTATTATTACTGTGCAGCATCGTATGGACACACAATAAAAGCGTGAAAATAAATGCATTCAAGCATATTAAATTAGGTATTTAGGTTTGAGTTGTTAAAATATATACTTAACACAATGACTTTGAGTATTTTGTCAAAATATTTGGAGAGCTTATATGATCATCTTACTAATTTATAAGTTCTTTTTCCCCAAAATAAATTTGTTTCCAAGTACGTTAACTTATTTCAAAAACTTATAGTTTATTTTCATTAATTAAAATAATTAAGTTAATTGAAGTAATTTATAAAAAAAATTTAATTTTTTTTATCATCATTAATTAATTTGAAATCATTTTTTTTATTTAAATTTTTAACTAAGTAATCATTTTGTCTAGATGTTAATCTTATCATTTAACTTATTAACCAATATTATTGAATACTTTTAATTCAATCAATTAACTTATAAATTTTTTACTTTTAATTAATTTATAGTTTGTAAGCAAATTTTACCGAACATAATACCTAATCATAATTTATCTTTACATTTGAGTAGTGCAGGTATATTAATATAGATAAAAACTGAAAGGTATGAAATATTAGCACATTGTAAGAATGAGTGTTGCGTTTTTGTTTAGTTTTAAATCATTTTATTAGTTATTTAATTAATTATTATATCAACCAATAAAATAATAAAACTATAAATTATTAATGTACCTTTTTTTATCGATGAGAATTATAATGAAGTAATAAAATTTGAACCTAGGTTTGGCTTCCATTCCTAATGTTCTTGAAACTTTCTTACTAAATAGAATTGCCCGTTAATTAATATATAATTGATTATCAAGCCTAAGAGCAAGTTTACGGGGCAGTGTTGCTTCTTACTTTTCCTTTAAGCAACATTTCATAACATAGATGCCGCCATGCATGATAAACGAAGAAAAAAGTGGGTTCATTTGTACGGAAATCATCAAAAAAAAAAAAACAAAAATTGAAGAAATTTGTTTGTCCAGAATTTGAAGGATAGATGCCATAAATTAACAACGACATATGCAATAAGTCATGCATCACATACTATGCCTTAATTAAAATTACAATATAATATTGTACTGGATAGGGTTAAATATTTTTTCAAGGCGAATATCCTTTTTATAGCTGAATACTATTTTCAAGGCTAAACACCTTCTAATGACTTTAATATCCTTCTTTCGGACTTGTTGGAATGCAAGCATAATCCCACATCGTTCAAACAAGAGGATGAACATGAGTTTATATACACACAATTGTCTCCATTAGTTGAGAGACCTTTTGGGTGATATCTAAAAGCAAATCCGTGAGGGCTTGGACCCAAAACAGATAATATGTCACTAATGTGGAGACATGTGTATATGTGTGGTAACTTCCATCGGTCCTCAATAGGACTAAGTGCCTTTCACTACAAGAAAATGACGATTTTGCGACGGTTATATGAGTATTACACACACATACACGTGTGTTCTTACTGGGAATTTGTCATAGAGATGATCCTCCAAGTAAGATTGGTGAGTCTCCTTCGCTAGTACGCTTGATGTTCCAAGATGGGGGTGGCACCTGCAAAAGAGACTCCGATGCTAAAGTTAGGGTTTGTATGAGTAGGAATCTCGTATAAGTAATGCACGAGAGCGTGTTTCGGTCCTTTCTTGAAGTTAATGCGATCTTGAGATCGTACAGGGTTTGTGACCCTTCCATTTCTCAACTAGAAAAATAATAGTATTAAAAATTTTAAAATATTTTAACAGATCATAAATTTTAATTAAAATAAAAAAGAAACATAACACATGGAATTCAATATAATTAAGTAACTGCTAGGTAGTGTAGTTTATAGGTACTTCAATATTTTTTGTTTAATTTTCGATAATGTGTTGTTAACAAGTGAATCAATATTAATTTTAAAAATTATGAGGATCAAATTTGTAATTTTTTTTTTTAAAGACCAACATTATAATTTACAAAATTATAAGGATAAAAAATGGATTCAAGGATAAATTGTATATATAAGAAAAGGTGCAACTATATTGTTCAAATAAAAATAATAGTAGCCTCCTAAAAAGGATAAATGGAAAAAAATAATAATAAAAAGATCAAGGGAACATACACATATGCTCATTTGTTGAATTGCTCTGTACGTCGCAAATAAAACTTGAAAAACATATCACATGCAATGATAACTAAAACTATTGTGATATCGGCTATATCATGAACTTTCTTTTTAAATACACACCAAAAATCCTTGTTTGGATGGGAACAAAAACAACTAAAGGAAGACAGAGACAGTAAGTTATTACTTGTCTCAATGAATTCATACAAGTGGATATCAAAGTTGAACAATTTGTTTAAATTTGAAAGACATATTTGATATTTTCATTTTATAATTACTTGGAAGTAAGAAATGGCAGATTTTTCGTGTTTGGTACCGGGTCTCTTTCACAGTATACAATAAGTTTTAAGTGCAATATGCACAAAGATACCTGCTATAGTAACTTAATATGTCAGTTTTTTTTTTGTTATGTAATCCTTATGATTTTTTTTATTTGTGAAATAATCCTTATTAAATTATCAAATGTGATTATGCGACTTATAAGTCTATTTTATAGAAGAACTAATATGTTGGAAGGAAATAGTCAAAATAGGAAGAAAAAAAAAAAGTTGAATGAAATGTATTAAAAGTTTTACTTTTTGGGACACAACAAAGAAAGAGAGAGACAAGAAATCAAAGATACATAAATTTTATATTAATTTATCTATATTATTGAGATAACGCTCGGTCTTAATCAATCTGGTCAAATTTCACTAATTTTAATAAACTTACATGAGTATTTTTTTATAAATCATTATTGACTCAATTTAAGTAGTTTTTAGCTTATCTCTTCAAACTATTTCTTGAACATTCTTTTCATACGAAGCCTCTTCAAACTTCAAAGAACTTGAGTATTATGTACATATAGTCTCTTTAAACTTCCAACTAAAACACTTTGTTTAAGTTATAAATTTAAGACTAACAAATATTATCTTTTTCGAGGCGTGATAAAACAATTTTAGTACAAAAGAACCTTTTACAAAGAGAATTGCAAAAGAAAGAATCGCTAAGTTATCATAATATTGTTCTTCTCTTCTTTTTTTGATCAAACTTCATATTTATAGGTAGTCTTTGAAGAGGACCATAACAAATTCTTTAAGATGCACATGCATACTAGCTTCATCTTCCTTCTTAATTAGAGAGGTTTTTGTTGGTTCCATAAGTGTTAGTATTAAATGTATTTCATCAAATATTCACTTTTTATCTAATTTAAGTGGCTACTTAGGTCATCTACAATGATAAATTTTTTTTTTGAAGTTTTTACTCATTAATTATCAATGTAAAATAAGAACTTACCATTGTATCGCTACTTAAATTTTTTGTGTGGACCCGTAGATGAAAAATTTAGTAAAGTATTTTTTTAATGATTGAATTATTAAATGTAAGGATGTGAAGTTATTGGTGGCACGTATTTAGTATTTTTTTTTTTGAGGTGTTAATGGATAAAGTGCTTATCAAGTTCTTAAGTTAAAAGGATAAAAATTCCGCTCAAAAAAAAAAGTTAAAAGGATAAAATTAGTGATGTGTGCATGTGGTGTCCATTTAAGAACCTCAAAGTGAGTTAATAGATGTGGATGCTTTTATCAACCTTTTCTATTAGAAGTAAAGGAACATTTTTATGTGTTAGTTCTAAACAACTTTTGTACTTACCACAATTTTCCCAAAGAGTAAGTTATTTTTTAAAAATGTTCTTCTTCCTGTGACCCCCTCTACCCCACACACATAATACACAATAAATATAAAGTACATCCCCGAGTAAATAAAACTTTCTTAATCGAAATAAGGTTCCAAAACACATAGATAGAGAGTTCACATTCATATTTCGCAAATCGTACTCCAATGCGAAATGATGACAAAATAAAACATTAATCTTTTCAAAACACAATAACAATAATGAAACTCCAATGCTAATCCTAAATAAGCCTCGATGTCACATGTCTTATTAGAGCACACCCCACAATGAGACTTAAACCTCATCACCAATATCCTCATGTTGATAATCATCTGCAACACAATAAAAATACACATAGAGCAACAAGAGAGTGAGAAACATCTTACTCTGATTCAGATGTAGAAATAAATGTTAGGCAACGTACACACAATCAAAGGACTAAATACCCTTCCTAGAGTCATATACTCATTCTAACCCCCCCTTTTATTATAAACAAATATTTGAGTATGTGCATACCTATCAATAAGTACTTGTAACGGACAATAAATGGTAACATCTTTTATGATTTATTATTATCATTAAATATATGGATAAATATTTTCATTATGAATCTTAATAATATGTAATGTATTCTCACGTAAAGGGAGAATGGCTACCTAGTCATAAGATACACACACAAATTATATTTGAGTGTCATAACACATACTTTAATCCACTTGAAAGATATCATAGCTTGTAGATCGAGAGTATTACAAGCTCTTGAATGATATTACACTATCTTTAAAGTTAATTAATAGTGTCTATAATTTTTGTCAATGCTAACTTAAAATGGACCAAATTGACACTAAAGTGAAAGTTATGTCAAATTAAAGAGTTGATGGTAACATTAGTGTCACAATCTCATAGGTCACCATTTATTACAAACAACTAAAAAGAAAAAAAAAACATAAAAATAGTCTAACATAGTATTATCATGTAGGTAGTTCCTGAATATTCACGTGACAATGTATATGTGAGGAATGGAAAATTGAAAATATAAAGTCCCTTAATGGGATTATAACCAATTCCTATACATATACAAGTACCATACTACAAAACATAAAAGTCCTAGGTCATTGATAAGCAACAACTATATACATATTGCATTAAACATCTCAACAAAAAAATAAGTCATCTCTAGCATGGTGTGCCCTCAACAAGCACTCTAAATGTAATCTTACCTTATTTCTATAATAATATGATCATCGTAGTCCAATAACATGGAAATGTAAGGGTAAGCTTGCATACAAAGAAACCAACATAATATAGAAACAAGAAATCAATTATATAAACATCATCAACATCAACTAATCAACAACAATCATATGTTCAACTTAAAGCTACAACAAACCACATATTTCATATAGCAACTTAATAACATATCATACAACTCAATCAACATCAATATAGACACTTCATAGCACAACAACTCCAAAAAATATCAATATAGACACTTCATAGCACAACAACTCCAAAACATAATAGTTTTTCAACATAGTATATCAACAACACTACTTATCAACACAATATATTAACAACACAACTACTTTATGCATCGTCACACAATTTAAGTAAGAAATCTCTTATAACATAGGTGAACAATCTAAGTGGTTTAACCTTATTGAATCAAACTTAACAATGCAATCTTTTTTTTTTGCTTACTAGATCAACAACAAATTTGGGTACCAATCCACAATACAATGTGATTTCTCAAATTTTACCACTTGCACTAGGTAAGTCTAGTACCAATCGTCAGGTATAGTGTAGCTTGGATATGAGCACGTTACAATATTTACATGCATTAACCAAGTTACATAAGGTATAGCCCACTAACTATCATCACAATATCATGCACCTTGCTAATCATTAGTTAGAGATTTTATCCATCGACTTCATACCTTACTTAATAGGTCACAACATTAATAATATGGTTTGACCTAATCCTAATCTATATCAACTAAGTACTTAAAGAAGACTCAACATTCCACTTCAAGAGACAACAATACTCAAAAAGGGTTTTCAACAATTGAGCTCTTAGAGTATCACAACACATATCCACACAATAAGATATTCAACTTTTAAAACAACATTTCTCCTCTAGTCTTAAGTTAACAACACAATACAACTCAATGCATAATGCATCTTATTAACATAATTCAACACTACAATATGCCTCATGTATATCCCAACTACCATACTACAATTCAACATACTTTTCATATGTTTAGAACACAACATACTATAACAAGTCATACATATTCATTTAACATACTCACGCTCAATGTAATGAACCTGTGTCCAAAGCTCGATGTCATCAAGGCCAAGAGTTCCTTACCCACTCCCAGTGTTGTCAAGACAAAGAGTCTCTGTCTCGTTCATGTCCAATGTCATTCCTCTAGCATCCCTTTAACCCATGCTTAACTAACTACAAAGAACCTTTAACTGACTCACGTCAGACACCAGCCAATTTGTGCCTAGCGTTAGTGAAGTAGAAAGCCTCTGACTTGCATTACACTTGACGTCATGAAGCTCCACCTTGCGAGAAAATGATTTATGCAATTGGGAAAATCGTGATTTGTCTCAATTACTTGAAATTTTCTAGCAAATTCAACATGCAACTATGATTTCAACACATATACAATGTATACAACTTAGCTTCATCTAGACAAACAACATGCAATCAATATATGATCCAAAATCACTAATTTGTGTCTAAACCACCAAAAACCCAAGTAGCCAGATATCTCACTTCTCCATAATCAAGGAAAGGGAGGAAGACACGAGAAACCCCAAAATCCTTTGTATGACAACTTCTCTCTACAAGTAGTGGATGCGACCATAGTGACGACACTACAGGTGTGGCCATGGTGACGACACTATGCGTGCAGTTACGGTGACGACGTTGCTTGTGTGACCATGATGACGCTACGATTGCGGCCACAATGATGCTATAGGTGCAGCCACAGTGACGACACTGCACTTGCAGCCACGGTGATGCTGCGAGTACAGCCACAATGACGACGTTGCGCGTGCGATCACGGTGACGACACTACTTACGCGACCACGGTGATGCTGCGAGTGCGACACGATGACAACATTGCTTGTGCAACCACTATGACGACGACCATGGTGACAATGATGATGTTGCGTGTGGTGGTTTCACAATAATGATTTGAAAAAAAAAAAATTTCACCAATTACGTGAGTTACCTTTCTTCAATCTCATATGTTTATTTTTTTATTAATATATCCTATGGCTAAAACTAATAATTCATCCATGAAACACATTTTTTACTATTTCATGTTAGAATACATCTTTCTTTATAACCATGACACTCAAAATGTTTACTTTTCCCTAAACAGTTGTCCAAAACGACATCCATGATTCATCCCGTATCCGTGACAGCATGAATGGCACGAGAGAACTCAGAAGATTTGTCATCATGTTCAAACAAGAGAAAGGTGTGGTGAGAGAGCCCAAATAATAGAAAGCCCAATACCTCTTTCTAGATCCAAACAAATAAGCCCACAGAGATGCCAACAGCATCTCTAGGCTCTAGTCTCTACCCGTGTCCTGTTCCATTCCATTTTCTAGTTACTACACTCTTCTCTCCTCACCGATGGAGGTAATTATCAGCAACAAAATAAATAAATAATGAATTTGCTTTCATCATTCAACTTCATTTCCATCGTTAATTAGTTTCCAAATACAATTTTTTTTTTAATTTTATTAGACGAAGCACACAGGGTATTGCCGTACGATGGAGGAAGTCACCTTCGACTGTGTACAGCTCTAAAACCCTTTTCCCCCTCTCTTTGTAGCATAGTTTTATTTCTCTATCTATATATCTGACTCCTTCTTCCTTCAAATTGGGTACGCAGGATCTCATTCATTCCATTTTGAAGCGCTTTTGGACATTGCAAGCACTTGGTTCCACACTTTCTCCTAATTTTTCCTCTTCCTCTTCCTTTCCTTCCCACATCCGAATCACTAACCTTTTTTTATATTTTTTTTTCAGAGCGCGAAAATGTTGAAGCCAACGACGCCCCGGACTCCGAGGTTCTTCGCTATTTGTCGTTGGTGTAGCTGATTATTAGTCTTTTATTTGTGCTTGTTTCTTGACCAGGATATAGTTTCTGAATTCCCCTTGTTGAATTGTGGTTCTGTGCAACATTTGAATTAATTTTGTTTCTGCGCTGGTATTTCCAACAATTTCTTCATTCCACTCGTGACTGGTGCTTGTCAATCATTGGGACTAGAATACAAATTATAGAAGAAATTAGTTTAAAATAAGTTTTTAAAGGCGGCTTCTATGAATAAGCTTTAATTTTAGCTTATAGAAAAGTTAATTTTATTTTTCTTGTTATTATTTTTTTGTATAAAATTTTCTGAATAAATTTATTCAATCAAGCTTCAAGTCGATTACCAGAGGAAAAAAAAAATGAAGATCTGCTCATGAATTTGGAATCTTGTCTCTTACTACATTGGATTTCAATTTCATACCACATTTCTAAAGCTTTTTAGGAACCTTGCCAGTCACGTTTCTGTCGGTGTTAATTTCCATGTTCTTATTGGCAAAAATGAAGAGACATAAGGTCATTTATAGTTAGGTTCCTATTTCCCTTATTAACACAAGGTTCAGGCCACACACCAAATTGCTCCCTGCATGCATTTGATAAATTTGGTTTTTCTTCATGAGTCATCCACTTATTAACAATGCAAACTTTGCCATGACTTTCAATTTCAACCACTTTATGATCTACAAGATCCCTACATAAGTATACATCATGTTTCATTCTCACTCTGTTGATTTGGTTCACAAGTATTTGCATTTCACAAATTCTTATTCAATTGTTATTTGTTACTTTTGACCACATCCTTGAAGAACTTTCAATTTGAAACACTGAACATATAAATCTGAATGACCAAAAAAGTTCCATGTAGATCATGTGCTTACGGGTTAGGAATTTTTTGTGGCCTCTAGAGCATTTAGATTTAATTGTAGTGCCTTTTATAAATAAAAGGGAGCTTTGTGTTAGTTTTTGTAATAGAGGAGAGATCTGTGTAGCAAACATGAAATACAAGGGAGTGTGTAATTTTTTCACAATATATCATATTCGTGTATAATGCTTCCTTCGAATGTTTGGTAAGGGAGTTGGCCCTGATTGTTTCAATTTCTTTTATTCGCTATTTAGGCTTTGCTTCATTTATCTTCATGTTATGATTGTTATCAAACTCTTTCAAACAAAACTTTTTCAAAGTAAATTTTTTTTTTACAATCTATAACTCACTGGGTGGCATCAACGGCAAAGGCATCCTAAGTAGGATCTACATCCTCTAATATTTTAGTTATTCTCTTCAACTATATAATACCTCTTGCTTAACTGTTGCATTGTGTGCCAATAATCTGAAAATGGGTTTTATTGCTACAGGTAGGAGTTGGAACATCCAAGAAGAATCGGACAACTTTTGGTATTTATGCGATGTTTCCATTATTTCATTCTATCGACAGATTTGGTGGAGGTTCTGTTTTAACATTTGCTTGTTTTACTCATTTCTCCATCTCTTGTGGTCCAGCTAATGCCAATGCTGTGAAGCTTACGTCTGAACTTCTCCGTATTTTTATCACAGGTTCTTCCATCTTTAATGATAAACACATTTGTGCTTCCTTGGTCATGACTATAACCTTGCATATAGTCTTTATCATCTTGACATAAATCTTTCTGTTGGTGCAGAGGCTGTTCAACGTGCTGCGGCTATTGCAGATGCAGAGGGTGCTAGTCAAATAGAACCTACTCATTTGGAGATTATTCTTCCTCAGTTACTTTTAGATTTCTAAAGCATTTCAAATACTTATATGTAACTTCTACTTCCCCTATCATCAATATAGTAGAAAGATCGTTAAGCTTTTATGCTGCGATATCAGACACAATAATTCTTTCCAGGGGCTTTTAAAGAGAAAAGGGCTGCGGTGAAACTGTGGAGTATCCTCACAGTTATTTCTTTCTGTTACTTGAAGCTTTCTAACTTGTCTTGCTCGATTAACGAATCTACAGCAAATCAGCAATTAAGATTTTCATGTGATTATCTATGATGATGATAAATCATTACAATGCTAATTAATTTTTGGGTGGCGAGGTAGGGAATTGACCATTCTGTGAAGATGGAAACAATTTTATATTGGTTCATTTACATTTTGAACCAACACCAATCATTTAGTTAACCACGATATTGTTGAGCACAATAAACCATTCTATGTCTAAAAGAGCAAGGAATTCTAGATTCTAAATATGTATTAAGCACGTGTTAATGTTGTCTTGACCAGTAATTAAACAAGAACCACGATTCAATAATAAACCATAAAACTTTGATTGCATTTTTTATTCAGCATATATAGAAATAGCAAACAACAACAATATTTTTGGTGTAAACAGTGAACATGTGTGATGTGTGACGCTGGTAAATAGTACGCATTGCAATATTTGATTTCCCCAAATATGCTATTAACTAGTGTAGACAATTGATCCGAGAATTTTTATGAGTTACATTTGACTCGGTCACATCAAATTATGCAGTGTAACAAGTTCTAAAAATCTTGCTTATCATTTACATTTTAAGAAAATGCTAACCATGCCCTAAAGACAGATGATTAAATAAGCAAAAATTCAAAAGTACTAAATTTACAATAAATTTTTTTACAGTATATGTTGATTATTTAAATAGTGTCTTTAGGGCGCTAGTTAGCAAAACTCTATTTTATAAAGTATAGTGAAAATAAAAATAGAACCAATCAGAACAGGAGTTCATATTAAACTATAATTTTAATCTTGAAAATATATAGCTTATCCTATTAGGAAATGAAGTCTCTTTTTAATCATATTTTTTCATCTACAAGATTCGAATCTCAAATCATGTTTAAAATTTATTATAGTACTACTCAGTTACCAGTGATAATTTACTTTTTCAAGTATTTTTTATTACACTCTCAGCACGTTATACTTCGTGTAGTTAGAACATGTTTGAATACAGATTTAAAAAAGTTTTTTAAGAATTTTTTTTACTAAAAGAATATTTTATTTTTAGTAAAAAAGTTCTTGAAAGTCCTTTAGACGATACCCAAACATACATACTCTCGATCCTTTCCTGCCTAACAGGCCAGAGCGCCCAAACGCAGTTTCATGTTCAAACAAGAGAAAGAAGAGGTGAGAAAGCCCAGATAATACTAAGCCCAATACCTGGAGTGAGAGGTGGAGGAATGCGCGTGAAGGAAAGTGGCAGGGAGAAAGATGCCATATTGCAATGGTGCCGTTACGCAACTAAGTAACCAACGCCAAAAACAAAACAACATTTCTACCTGTGTGTCTTGTTCCATTTACTACTTTCTACAGTCTCATCCTTGGTGACTGTTCTCTCTCTGAACCCTAATTTCCTCACGGATGGAGGTAACCCCTCTCTATTTCTTCATATTTTTTTTTACCGTGGACCACGCTTTCATTTATATTGAATCCTTATCGTTGATTCTTTAATTCAGCAACTAAATAAATAAATTATGAATTTGCTTTCATCATTCAACTGCATTACCATCGTTAATTTGTTTTCAAGTACGGATTTTTATTTTACTAGGGGAGAGGCCCTTTGCGTCATGGAATTTTACTCTATTGTCTTTTTAACCTTTAACTTACAGTAGGCATCGCACTCTCTTATTTGGCGATCAACAGCCCAACAACATTGTATGAACAAACTAGGCCTAACCACTCAACCAGGCACATCTTAATTAGATAAAAGGATGAATGGAACCTTACATGTTTGTGTTTTCTTATCTTGTTCTCTTATTTTCTCTAAACAAAATATAATTTTGCACAAAATACAGCAATTCTGGTCTGGGAGTGCCATCAATGAAAACAAAGGAATGGTAGATAATTTGCAGCGTTATGGAGTAATCACATCCAAAAAGGTTGCTGAAGTAATGGAAACCATTGATAGAGCTTTGTTTGTACCTGGTGGACTCCAACCTTATGTGGACAGTCCTATGCCAATAGGCTACAATGCCACTATCTCTGCGCCGCATATGCATGCCTCCTGCCTTCAGTTGCTGGAGAAAAATTTGCAACCTGGGATGCGTGCTCTGGACGTTGGCTCTGGTATAGTCCATGAACTAATTTTCTATAATTATTACCAGAGCCAAAGAGCTATCTACAATTGCTTTTTTTTTTCCTTCTAATTTATTAAAGAGAAACGGAAAATGCTTATTAATTAGGAATAATTCAACTACCATTGTGTGTATTGGATTTGTTGTTTAATGTTGATAGCAGCTGCCATAACAAGGCTGTGCAAAAAAGAATGGATGGTTTATTTCCTTTTCTTAATGAAGCAAGAGAAGGATGATATGAAGATTTTATAGTGTAAAACCTTGACACTGACAGTGTTTATTGACAACACAATTAGGTTTGCATAATCCCAATTCAATGTGGAAATGTTGTGTTGTTCTATGCGTTCCATGATGTGTTATACAAATTTAAATTATGTTCTATATAACAGGAATGGAATTTCAATGCATTTGTTCTCTGTATTCTCCTCATTTGAGGCACAATATTGATACTTTGGACCCCTTTATAGGAACTGGATACTTGACTGCATGCTTTGCTTTGATGGTCGGACCCGAAGGCCGTGCTATTGGTGTAGAACATATTCCTGAGTTGGTCTCTTTTTCAACTGAGAATATTAAAAAAAGTGCTGCAGCTCAACCATTGAAAGATGGTTCCCTTTCTGTGCATATTGGTGGTATGTAATCTACAATTTCTGTCAATCTAAAACATTGAAACTCTTTTATTTTTTGCACAACAAAAATACAATTTCATTTGATGTAATTAGCTTCTAAAGTTTAATTTAATCCATTTGTTTGATATGGGTGTTGAAGCTTAATGTGAGGTGAAGGATTTAATAATGCTAATAATATTAACGAGTGTCCATATTCGTTTTCTTTAACTCTTCCCTTTGCTCTGTGGTGATAGCTGCATGTATATATTAATGATTCTTGAGCAGTTATATGTCAAGTTGGTGGATCAATAATTTCAAATATTTGAGTAATTGTTGTGCTGACAGATGGAAGGCAAGGTTGGCCTGAGTTTGCTCCTTATGATGCCATTCACGTTGGAGCAGCAGCACCAGAAATCCCCCAACCACTTATTGACCAGTTGAAGCCGGGTGGTAGAATGGTTATTCCTGTTGGAAACATATTTCAAGATTTAAAGGTCGTGGATAAGAACTCTGACGGTTCTATCAGTATCCGAACTGAGACTTCTGTTCGATATGTGCCTCTCACTAGCAGAGAAGCTCAACTGCGAGGTCAGTGAAGTGGACGTTGGGAACACTCTGGTTTTGTCTGTACCACGTGCTGTAAGAATTTGTATAGTTAAAGTTGTTGATTTATTCTTACCCAAAAAAAAAAAACATGATTCATGTTGATCATGCAGTATAATGGTAATAAATATACCATAACTATTATCGTCGGTTTCTGAAATCTGAATCTGTTTTTTCGGTTTATCTAATATGGAGTAGAACTAAATAAAACATTATTTTCTAGTAGTATTTAACAGTGATTGAGTTCAAAATTTCAACAATTGTCTTGTGTTATATACTTTTTATGTTGATGAATAATTTGGAATTTTTATTTTGATGATTATTTAGACAATGTAAAAAGGTTGCTTTGTGATTATTTTAAATAATAGCATGAAATAATTAAATTAAATATGGTTAAAATTATGATTATTGGTTTAAATTTTTTCATGAAATAATATTTTATAGAGGATTTTCTTTATTAATATTATATATATATATATAT